ACCTTAGCATTGCGCGCGCGCTGCGGCAGCGGTGGCGGCGGCGGGGGGGGGAGAGCTTGTGCTCGTTGAAGACGCCGCGACTGATAAGCGCGGCCCGGGAGTAGTGGTGAGCAATCTGCACCAGCTCGCCGAAGGTGTTGCGCTGCCTGCTCTCGATGGTCAAACCCGGTGTCTTTTTCTCTGTCATCCTGCCCTTTTTACTCTTGAGCGCCCGTCTCTGCGTATCGTCGAGGCCGATACCCTTCGATGCGAGCACCTCCGCGATTTACGCGAGGCTGCGACCCCAGTCTGCGGCCTGCAGGTGGTTGAGGATTTCGGGGTTCAACCCTTCCTGCGCGGAAGGTGGGGGGTCGCGGGCGGGGGGGCGGCGCGCGGGAGCGCTGCGGGCTAGCGTCAAGCAAAATGCCAGTTGAAGTGCCCGCGCGCGCGAGTCCGTGCGTCAGGCGCCTCACCGTTGGCGAGGTTACGTGACGTACGTGCGGCACATTCGAGGCGTACCAGAGCTCGAGCCGGCCGTCAGGGAGCTCCAACTTCTTTCAGAGCGCGCCACAGTTCGCCGTGTGAAAGAACGCGCACTTGTACTCCGTCGACGTGAGCCCAGACTTAGACGTCTTGCAACCGCTCTTGTGGCAGAATGGATCGCTGTTCTTGAGGCTGTCGTGCTTGATGGCATCGGCGTGGAGCGCGTGAGTGAACTCCGTATCGTTCATGTGTGTACTCATGTAGCGCCAGCCGCGCTCTGTCGCCGGGGCGCGGCTCTTCCCCCGCGGCGCGCGCGTGCGCCCCTTTCCCAGCTGCGGCTCGTCGTCGGCGTCGGAGAGCAGCTCATCATCAAGCTCATCACGCTGCGTCGAGTGCGGCGAGTAGCCCGCGAACGGGTTCTCACCGATCACCTCATCGTCGTCGTCGTCGGGAATCGCCACGCACGTCACGCTGTGATTCCGTGTGAGTCCGGTAGCCCAAGTCCGTGAGTCTGTGAGTCCGTGATTCCGTGTGTTTCCGTGAGTTCAGACATCCGGTTTTATGTTGTGACACCAAAGGTTTTATGTTGTGTTATGTGATTTAATTCGCCCCCGCGCCCGCGCGCGCGGATACGAATTTCAAGCCTGCAGTGAGTACGATTAGGCGCTGGATACGCCAGAGCACCGGCTGAGTACGTTTCAGCTCCAGGATACGATCTACGCGTGTTTTGGATACGATAGTCCAAAAGGCGCCTCTGGATACGATTGTGCACTCGGATACGATTTGGAAGGTGTTTTGGATACGATATGACTAATATCGGCCTCGATACGGGAGCGCACCGCCTGGATACGTCCGAGCGTTTCTTCTGCGATCCCCTGTAGTGTGCATCGGAGTTACGCATACATGATCTGGAGTCGATTTTAACCTGGAGTTTTGACCGCGCGCTGCGGCGCGCTGCGGACGCACGGCATTGTCGTCCTCGTGGCCCCTCCTCCTCCCCGTCCTTTCCTTTGTCCTCCTCGTCACCACCTGCCTGCTTTGAAAATTAGACGAGGAACACCCATCGAGAAGGAACGCTGACCTCGTGCGCGCGCTGCACGCCTTGCTTGACCACCGAGCCCTCCGCCTCCGACCAGCCCTAGAGCATCTGAAGCTTTGCGCGATGGGCAGCTTGCACAGGCGCACGGCCTCGGCTGTAGCTGCCGGTCTCGCCTTCGACCATTCTTGAAGCATGCACACGATGTCGGCGAAGACCGCCTCGGGTCCATCGATCGCCCGGAATCCTTTCGCGCCGGTAGTTCTTGGTGGGCACCTTCGAGCACTCGGAAGCCTCCTTGCCTACGCACGGGCGGCGATGCGCGCGGCGCGCGCGGCGCGTGCGGCTGTAGCTTCGTGCGCCGTCTTCGCTCCTCTGTTCTCCTTCGACGAAGCCGCCGAGAGCGTGCGCTTCGCCGCGAGCGCCTCGTCCACCACCACCACCTTGTCGAGCACCAACACAACGACGTGGGGGACGCCGACGTCCTCCGCCTCGAACTTCGACGGCGCGTACTTGCTCACGTCATTGACCTCGCGCGCCTGGCGCGTCACGGCAAGCTCGAGCTGCCTGCTGCCACCCTTGTGCCTGCTGCCACCCTTGTGCCTGCGCCCGAGCCCTTGGCGGCATGGCATGCTCTGGTCGTCGGATGGAGGAACACCGTGCGCACCGACGGCGGCGAGTTTTGCTCCCGGAGTTGCGTCACTGCACGCGCCGCGAGTCGCTGCGTGCAGTATGAAGAGAGCGAGCAGGATCGCGAGCAGCCGTCGTGCAAGCCGCGTTCCTCAATTCCCAAGAAAAGCGTGAATTTTCAACTTTCAACTAAATGCTCGTGCACGTTATCTATCAGGGCGCTGCTGATGAAGCGGCAACGTGAATTTACGCGTAAAAATGAAAGCTACACGGCATTGTAAGGCCGCATGCGACTGGTCGGTTATGCAGCCGCTATGGTTATCCAGCTGTTGCCGAGGTCGATGATGTCGACCCCCAGCCCGTCCCAGGTGGCCTCCTTGTCGGTAGAGACGGCAGCGAGGCAGTTGACCTCGGCGGCCTGCTTGTCCGCCGTCTTGCCGACAGAGAAGAAGATGCGCCGCACGAGAAGGCCGCTGGCGAGGAGAACGAGCAGCAAGCCGACATGCGGGATGTTGTTGGCAGTACGCTTGTCCTCGGTGCATACAGAGAAGACGAGGTCCTTGGAGGCCTTCTTGACAACGTTGACAACGATGGTGAGGTCCTTGGCGATGCGCTTGGCTGGATACGGGTAGAGGATGAGCTCCTTCGAGGCCTGCTTACCCAGAGCCAAGTAGGTCAAGGAAGCGCAGAGGTCAACGAGGACCAGAAGGCCGAGGACCAAGATGACGAGGTAGTGCGCGGCGATGACCTTCTTGTCTGCGACGATGGCCTTCTTGTCAGCGGCGATTGCCTTCTTGTCAGCGGCGATGGCCTCGGCGACCTTCTTGTCCTCGGCTGCCTGTACGGCCTTCCTCTCCGCTTCTATGGTCTCAGCGGCCTTCTTGTCCGCTGCGATGGTCTTCTTGTCCGCAGCAATGGCCTTCTTGTCCACGGCGATGACCACCTTGTCTGCGGCAATGGCCTTCTTGTCAGCGGCAATGGCCTCGGCGACTTTCTTGTCATCGGCAGCCTCGGCGGCCTCATTGTCATCGGCGGCCTCGACGGCCTTCTTGTCACGGGCGGCCTTCCTGCATCGAGATATTCCGTCGCGCCATATGTCCTCGGCGGCCTTCTTGTCTTCGGCGGCCTTCTTCTTTTCTTCGGTGGCCTTCTTGTCCTCGGCGTCCTCGACCTCGACGGCCTTCCTGAACTCGTCGTTGGCCCTCTTGGCAGAGACGAGCCCCACTAAGACGACGTTCACGATGCCAACCACAAGCGTCGGTACGCAAAGCGCTATCGAGCAGTTGGGAACTCGCAAGGGCGCAGTTTGATTTGTCACAAATTTGGCACTCAATCTCGAGAATTTGTGACAAATCGATCGAGAATTTGTGACAAATCGAACTCGCAGCCGTTTCAACTTGCGAGTTCCTCGTCGCCGCGGCTCGGCGGCGAGGGCTCTTGGAGGCACGGCGGTAACGTCGCTCCCGAGTATGGCGAGTTGAGAAGGCCACCGAGAGCGGCTGATAATGTCGCACGCCGCACGCCGACACCGGCGTGCGCGACCGCGGCCGACAAGGTCGCAGTTGAGCTTTGTGTCTCGACGCTGCGCCTCTGTAAGCCTGGACAAGGCGTGCAGGTGAAGCCGCGGCATGGGCCGTTTGGCTGGACGTACGCCGTTGGGCGGTACGTCAAGGAGCGCGCGTCACGGGAGTGGAACTCGGGCGCGTGCGGAGTGGCTGCGGTGGGCGAGGATTGGATGGCGAGGTTAATTGGTTTGTGCGCACGTCTGGCGAAGATGCTACCCGATGGCGCCGACTTCGAGATCGCGCCGTGGTTCGTAAGCGAGGGGCGCGTGATGTTCGTGCTTACTGTTTGCGCCGTCATCGCACCGCAGCAGCAACGGGCGGCGGGTGGCAAGCGCCGCGGGGCGGCGGCGGGTGGCAAGGCCACGGGGGCGGCAAGGGTGCACGCACGGGCCGGTCAGCCCGCCGGGCAGCGGAGCACGCCCTGGCGGCTGCGGAGCGCGTCCAGTCGCCTGCATCCGCGCCCGCTGACGCGCCCGCTGACGTGCCCGCTGACGCGCCCGCTGACGCGGGGATCGAGGAGCTGGTGGTGCCATCTCCCGTGGCGGACGCGACAACTGGTGTGGCAGCGGCTCCTGCCGCTGAAGCACCCGCTGACGCGCCCGCTGCCGAGGTTTCGATGTTATCGCAGACACTGCAGGTTTTGCTGCCGACTTTGCCGCTGCACGCTCTCTTTCAAGCCGCGAGCGAGTCTGTCCCAGAGTTCAGCACCAGGGTAATCAGTCCACTGGCGAACTGGGCAGGCAAACCCGGCAAACGCTCGAGATTGAGTGATGAGAGCAGCAGTGGTGACGACGACGGGAAAAGAAACCGGCGGGCCTGACGCGGTGACAGCAATTTTGGCGAGGACTTGGGCACCTTTGGCAACTCAACGATATAATTTTTTGTCAATGATGGGCCTTCAGCGCACAGATGAAACCAGAGGTACCTGCGGGCACGGCGGATTCGCTCGCGAGAGTGACGTCGTTATGAACCGACGACGATGACGGGTCTCGAGCGGAATAAAGAATAAAATGGTATTATTTAAGCACTCAAAATAACTCGAGATTGAGTGCAAATTATAAGCATGGAATTTTCGCACGTCGGCGGCCTTATACGCTCGTGCGCGTTGGTCTAACATATTATTGCACTTGATTGCACTTGAGCGGAGTTTTTCTCTCAAAGTCCCGGTCGTTTCTGAGCGGGCACGGGCGAAGGGCACGCTCGTTTTTGAGCAGCCCACGGGATTCCCGCCCGCTCAAAAACGACCATTTCTCCCTAGAAGGCGGGCATGCGAGCGGGAATTCCAAAGGCCCTCTTTGCAGCGGGACTGCCTCGTGGCGCAGTTGGTTAGCGCGTGCAGCCGTTAACCGCGAGGTCGTAGGTTTGAGCCCTGCCGAGGCAGCACTTTTGCGCGCCGTCGGTGGTCAATTTACACCCCAGTTGAGCACGTCCTGCGTGTAGTCCACTTCCTCATTTGTCCACATACATGCCATTTGCTTCTTGTAAAATTGCCAAATATCGTTATGCTGGCTCGGGAAGAGGAAGCATGACCGGACTCTCACTGTGATCACCGAGTCTGTCCAATTACAGACTCTCCTGCCGCACACTGCTGGCCAATTATAACAATTGGCTCAGCAGTGTGCGGCAGGAGACTCGCGCTTACTCACAGACGAGATCGTGCAAGCTTTGACAGAGAGAGAGCGAGAGGTTGTGAGACGGATGGAATCGTATGCACACTTTTAATAATATCATTTAATTGGTTACGTTAAGACTACAGGGGATCGCGGGCAATAAGAAGCCATCGTGTTAAGAAACTGAGCCTCGTGTTTGGCCCTTCAATAGAGGGGATCGCGGGCAATAAGAACGGCGCTTTTTGAGGTTGAGGCTGAGTTTCTTAGCAAATGACATACAAACAATGCTTAATTTTTTAAAATTACATACAAACAATGCAAAAAAAAGAGGCTCAGTTTCTTAACACGACGGTTTCTTATTGCCCGCGATCACCTGTACTGCCTAATTTGGTCCGAAGTGAGGTGGCCCGTACTTTGCTTGCGCTTCGATTGGCCAAACGTTACGGATTAGCCGGTGGTCAAGATGGTTGCCCATAGGGTCATCTACGTTCTCCGGTCTGCGTAGATTCAACTGCTCCTGGACGTGTTGCGGGAGGCTAAGGGCATGTGTGATTGCCGCATTTCGTAGTGCTATGGCTGCCTCCCAGCTAACCGTCTTTCCTGCGCTTCTCAGCACAGCGTAGGGGAGGCAGTTTTCGTCACCTTGTATGCTTGCGTGGGTTAGGTTTACACTTGCCAGTAGCGCTTTCAGGTTGCCAGCCGGTTCGCTTGTCCGTAGATCTCCAGTGATTGTGACGGCTTCTTACTCTGTAGGGGCTTTTTGTGCTCTGCTAGCCTTTCTTCCTGCTGCCCGTGGACCCGCTGGGTTGGATGGTGAGGTGTTAGTCCTAGCGTTAGGTACCCCGATAGTAATAACAACCTGGCCAGTGCCACTACTGGCTTTCTTGGGCGGTGGGCTGATCGGGCTTGCCTGGGTGACTATAAGCCCTTGCAGTAACACCTTTCTAACCTTGCAGTCTCTAATGGCAAGCATGTAAAAGTGTTGCCGTGCTGTGCGGTGAGTTTATCTCCTGCCTTCATCTGCATTCGCAGTAGGGCAGTCCTCCGTTTGCAGTGCATTCTGAGGCTGCTTGATACCACCTCCTTCTGCAGCAGCCCGCGCTTGATCACTATGGGTCGGCCTTCGTCGTCTTTCCAGCTACCTTGTGCAGAGCTCTCTCTATCCTGGTCTATGATATCTTTTACTTCTGGTCTATCTGTCCCGCATAGGAGTTTTCCCTCGCCATGACTGCTGATGCGGTAGAACGGGCTCCGCCTTTGGAGATGTTGTCGTCTGTGGCTTCTTCCACTGCTGCAATCAGGGCCTGCTTGAGTGCTACACGAATAGCATCTGTCTCAGGGCATCTCCGGAATAAGTGGTCTCTGGGGTCCTCCCCTGGCCATCGCTCTACTGCTGCCACGCACAGAGGGCACTTTATGCTCATCTTGGTGGACTTTCCCCCCTTAATTGCCCTGCATTGGCCAATTTCTGGGAACTCGGCTGCAATATCAGCATTGTATAGCAACTCATCGACACGATCGGTACGATCGCGGCACGCGGCCATGCGCAGCTGCTGCTCGCGCGCTTGAGCGCGCTGGCCCCGATCGCTGCCCAGCGCGGGAACACGACAAACAGCAACCAGCAGATCATCTCCCTAAACGCCCTTGCCCGGGCACACTACCGGAGATCCATCGGCACGCGCGGTGGCGCCCAAGCCAGCGCAGCCGACCAAGGCACGCAGCAGGCAATGGGCGACGCAGCGCTCAGACCAGCACAACATTCAGAACAGTCAGACGCCAGCTTGAATCCCTATCAGTAAGTGTAGATCCCGATATGCATTGTAGGATGAAATTCGGTAGTTGTTCCGGCCCCACCGCTGATCAATTCAGCCACACGACAATCGACGACTGACGACTCTCGACTGGCGCGCTGACCGACCTCCACTGCTCTCCCTCGCGTCGTCTGAAAATGCAGCACCGTCTGCGAGTGCGGCCCACCTTCGCGCATCCCAAACATTACTTCCTCGCTAGCCTGGCTCGCATGTGTTGAGAAAAAACACAAATATGCGCGCTTATTTGCTGGCCCATTCTATCCCACCTCTTGACGGGGGTGGGTCTCGGGCGCAGGACTTTAGGTTGCGGGGTGTGGCGGGCTTGCTGGCTCATGTTTGCGTTTTGGAGACTTTGAGCTTGCTGGCGCATGTTTGGTTTTAGGTTTTTTGTCGCCCGAGTGGTGTGGCAGCGTGGGTGACTGGCCGGTTTCAAGGGCCCGTTTAGTTGCTGAGCGCAGTGTGCGTGAGTGGTGTGTGAATATGAAGGACTTGTCATGGATCAGTGCTTGCATGCGTGACGGGCCTGCTGCAGATTCGTGGTTTATGGCGGGACTGGCTGGTCCTGTTTATGGTTCGGTGGGACTGGCTGCTCCTGGTAATAATGAGGTTTTGGTTCGAGACGGTCTCTGGTTGCGTTTTTCCACGTTTGATGTGCGTAAGCGTTGCTGGCCTCGGCTGAGCCTGAGGGTGGGCTTCGGCTGCATGGAAGGTATGGTCGGGTTTACACCTGTTAATGAATCTTCATTATTCGTAGGTTGGTTGCGCATCAGGCATCTTCGTTTGGCAGGGGTGGTCAGTGCACTGGTGTCCGTTGGGGGTATGGGCTCTTGCTGTATAGGTGGTATATCCGTTGGGGATATGGGCTCATACTGAGCGATGCTGTCCGTTAGGGGTATGGGCTCATACTGCATAGGTGGTATGGCCGCTGGTGCTTCGTTTTGGGCGATGCTGTCTGTTGAGGGTATGGGCTCATACTGCATAGGAGGTAAGGCGGATGGTTCCTTGTTTTGCGCGATGCTGTCCGTTGGGGGTATGGGCTTGTATTACTGCCCGCTCAGCTGTCCGGGCGGCCCACATGGCTACCTTAAACTTATACGCGTCGTATAATGATCTATTGTCCTTGGTTGACGCCGATGATGCTTTGATTGCCGCTTCGCGTGATTTGTGCATTCTAAGGCTATGGCGTAGGAGAGTGTAGTGTAAGTCGCCGGGAATGGGTGCGTCACCGGTGTCGACGTCCTTCTTTCTGAGCTCTTCTTTGACACGTAATCCTACCCTTCCGGAGAAGTAGTCCGGCCGAGATATCATGTGTGTCGCCATTGATTTTGATTTGGCGGGTCCCAGGCTCGGGGACAGTCAAAATTGTAGAGCAAGAGATATTCCGCTAATTTCTCCATGGGCTACATCCTGCTCACCGTCAAAGGTGCAATAGACGATGTGCACCTCTTGTGTTGAGGGGTGCGTGAAGCGATTGGTAATCACATAGGCACATGCCCCAGAGGCCACATGAGTACCATCTTCGAAAACCTTGTGTGATCCATCTACTGCTACCTGTATTTTCCGAGGTGCATTAAAAATCGGCATATTAAGGGCATTTGTAATTGAATGACGCGCCTTCAGGAAGGCTTGTGTATTTCTTGTGACATACCAGAAGCGCACGGGCCCATCGAGTTCACTTTTAAGGGCCTTAATCAGCATGGCTAGTACTTCGTCACGGATCTCATGGTTTGGGTTTTTGAGCCGCTTCTTGGCCTCTTCTGTGAAGAGTTTGTCCAGCCGTTTGCATTTTTCTAGACCCGGCACCTGCGTTCCTTGGAGGATAGCTTGCTCCGCTGGCGACAAGTCAGTGATGTCCGTGTCTCAAGCTGTCATGAGTTCACTCCGCGTGGGCTGCTGGGCACATACCAGCACATCTCCCATTCTGCATTCAGCCAGGGCCTTCCAGCGTGGCTTATTGCAGTTTTTAAATTCAGAAGTAGACGAATCAGACCGCGGCTCAAAGTCAGCATCGGAGGCGTCCGATTGCGAGCTGCAGGGAGATTCAGAGGAGGAGGAGCAATCTGGCGACTCAGAGGGTGCCCGTGAGTAATTCTAATTTAATGATATTGAAGTTTATAAAATTACTAAGTTAATCGCTTATTCTATAATATAACCCATACATCTTTCACGTTTAACTAGAATGCATCTAATAATTATTGGCTATATATCGAATAAAGCAGAGTATTCAATGCTTTTCAAAGCAACTATGTGAACTAGCGTGTGGTTTGCTACGAACATTTCAAAATAAATCTAACAATAGAATCTAAAAGACGAACGACCGTACTACTGTATTTCGTTATACAATTTATATATGAGCGGCTCAGCATGGTTCAACACGTGTTGTACAACATGAATATTTTCCCCAAATATGCTGGGTTCCGCCAGGCATGTAACTGCTATTGAGCACTAACGCATGTTCACCAATCTGGTGGTTAGATCTGCAAGCGCGGTAAGTAATCAGTAATCGGCCTAGCGTAGTATAAATTCTGTTTATTCACGATATTGTTATACGTTAACTATTCTATCTAATTATATATCTAATTATACGGAGCCCTACAGGCGGGGAGAGTCGTAGACGGCCTCCACGAGCTCGTTCGTCATAATGAACTCGCTGAGAAGCTGGTCCGCCAGGTGCCTCACCGGCGCACTCCCAACGAGCGCCGCGAGGCTGTACCCGCCGGGCGCGTCCGGATCCGCGTCGGCTGCGTGCACTGCCTCTTTCTCGCGCGGTGCCTCGCAGAGCGAGCCTGCGCCGCCATCGCTCATGTCGACTGGCGGCGCGTGCTGGTTGAGATCGACCCGGGCGAACTCGTTCTTGCTCATCTGCCGAAGTAGGATCCGCTCGTCAGCGCTGTCGCGTGTCACGACGCGGTACTGGATGACCGTTTCGGTTTGTCCAGGGCGCCAGAGCCGACCGAAGG